ATCTCGATTTAAGGACCTTACACGGCAACAGATCCTTACTTATATTCAGACACTTTTTAATCCATTTAATTAAAATTTAATTTAATCCATTTTAATCCATAGATGAAGATTCACATTAACCAATGAAGAATGAACGAATAAACGACTGAAAGATAGCGAACGAACCCCTTTTGGGTATATGGAATCACTGGCGATATTGAACGCATACGAATGTTCAGCGTCATACTCTGGTGCCATAATGCGATCGTAATAATCGTGATATGAATTCACAAGCAGATCAAAATCACTGCTCCGTATGTAGTCATGTCCTGAGTCAGGAAAATTCGCCGACTGCGGCCATTCCGCGTGATTCGTTTCGGTGACTGCATTCGACTCATCCCTACTGCTAATCTCCGCTCCTAACGTTGCCATGTCGGCCAGCATCAACAAATGTGATGATTCAACCATTTTGAATGACTTTAATTCTGCCTTAAATACGTGAACTATTACAGTGATCTTACGTCATCACATTGGCTAAATACAATAGAGATCGATGAATAAACGCCCTCTGAAAAGAATGCGTCTTCTAGAATGATTATCTAAAAACATCGTCACACATAAGCACATGTTGAAGGAAAATGCAAAGTAATGACGAAAACTGAACAACATCAAATGCTTTTTTTTTAAAAAATGTTTTCATTATTGCTAAATAACCAAATGATCAATTCGTTTCAGTCACAGAAATCTTCACAATTCGTGCAATGTATCTTTTGCATTCATCAGCTAGAGAAAATCATGAACAAGGAACAGAATCAATTTTTAAAATGCACAAAAATCATCACATCTAAAACTTTCCTCAGATCATGAATTGAATGAAAAAAACAAACAAATATTAGGTATCATTTCGAATGTTTGGTATTTAATACGTTGTAACTTTAATAATATTTTCTTGTTAGAATTTGAAAAAAAAAATAGGAGTAACATTTCCGCATTTTTACAGTGAAGAGCGATTCTTCGAAACACTTCAAATCAAATTCTGTCGCCATTATTGACGCTAGCAAATGTAACTGTTTATTACACTCTACAAGCCTTATCGAAAAGACATTTTGGCTTTGAATCGAATATGCGTTTACTATGTGAAAAAATAACTGAAAATCATGAAAAACAACTCAAAACATGAGAAAAATACATTTCATTAGGAAAAAATTCCAGGAACAAAAAAAACAAGCCGAAAAATTATCCTACAACATGAAAAACCTGGAAAAAATCGGGAAAAAAAGAAGATTAGAATAACAATTAAATTCACTTTTTACAGAGGAAGCGATTCTTTATAAGTACAACAACGATCCGAGGTAAGTGTACCGTATTGCTTAGAGCCAATTCAAAATGTTTCATCTTTATTGTGATGTCGTCGAAGTGACGACGATTATCGTCAAATCAATGCAGCACAGTGAACGAACGACTTTTCGCTCGAAAATAGCAATAAAAACCTGTTGAACACTCTTCAACAAAAGAGTACAAGTAATGCAAATGAAACGGAAATAGACTTTGATATGAATTGGATTCAGGCCGATGGCCACCGAACGACGCTCGAAATTTGTCTTGACGATAGAAACCGAAGAAACTGTGCGTTATCCGACCTGATATGAATGATGAAGAATACGATCATCCGGAGGTTGGCAACAATGAAGATGAAAAACTCGACAAACTCCAGTAAGAGCAATAAAAAGATGCAATGCAAGTGCTACCAGCATTTGTTTCACGCTGCTAACAAATACTTAAAGTACTACCAGCAAAATGCAAATGATTGAGGAATATCACCGTGATAAATAATGAATTTCTAGCATTAAGCGGATGTCAACCGCTCCGGATGATCGCATTCATCAATTCACCATATCAGAGGCTCGAAAGTAGCCCAACAGAGGCTTAACACAACAAAAAATCAGCAAAAATGCGAACAAAATGCGGCACCTCACGAAGGCGTTAAATTCATAACCATTGAAGGCTATTGATAAATCAGACGATGGAAGGCAAACGAAATGAAAATTGAAACGAATCAAAAAATAACAAAATACAAATTACAAGATTTCAGTAAGACAATGCTGCAAGCAAACCAAAACAATAATAATAATAATACACTCAAGACTGACTGCAAAACAATCAGACAATATACTTACAAATAACCTAATGCTAATCGATAATCAAGCGGCAATAATACTTAACAAAGTGGGAAGGGAATTCATTCAAAAAGCACTTTACAATTACAAGTGAAATCAAAATTGGCGATAACTTCGAAAACTTAAAGCAGTCTCAAAGAATAACAATATATCAACAAACTAAATACAAAATTTTTAAATTCGAACAACTAAATTTTAAATTCGAACAATTCTTCAACCACAAAAGCTAATCAATATATGTGATTAATGATAAAACTAATTACTAATATGATCAAATTATTAATTACTAATATGATCATGCTAAATAATTTGAATATCACCTTCATACGACAATAATATCGGTAATAATTGACCTGAATATTCGAACAATTCTTCAATCACAAAAGCTAATCAATAACCAAGCAGCAACCATATAATGATACCGATAATAATGATAACGATAAAAATAGCAATAACATTATAAAATTAGGTGATGAGCGGCTCTTTGTTATCGTGAACAATCACGGAACGTATGAAAGGAACAACAGCAAAAATCAACGAAACATTCAGAATAATCGAAGCGATGAACAAGTTTCTCCACAAACCAAAACGATATTCACACGGCAACGGACAGCTGAAATGTGGCGATCGACTGAGCTCACCCTCACTCATTTGTTCGACGCGATCCACCAATGCACTCGCTATTACTGACACCTAAATTCGCAATCATTAGGCAATAACCAATCGCATGTTTCAAGCCAATTGCCTCTAACGCTGTTCTCAAAGTAGAAAAATGTTTGCTCAAGTCAACAACGGCAACTGATCTCAAAAGAGCACTACAAAGCATATATGGCACTATAAAGCACTAAATTTTAAAAAATCCACAATAAGTTTCAAATTGCTTTGACAGCTGTGGTGATGATCACCAGAAAAATGAATCAAAACAGACGAACGCTAAAATTTGTATACAAACAAAGTTTTCATAATTATGAGCAAATTGTCCGCATTAGAAAAAAATTACGCTACACAATTCTCATGAGAACATTTTGATGCGAACAAGAATTGAAAATTGATTACTGATATTCTAGAGGTGAACGAAAACGCATACCGTAGTAATATTCAGGAGATCGTCTTCAGTTAGTGCAGAACTAAACTGACTGATCGCTTGTTTTTTCAGTGCTGCGTAGTTCGGTTTATAGTGCTCCTCGTGACGTTCGTGCCATTCTTCTAAACACATTATTATTCATTATCATTATTTGTTATTTTATTCACTACTATCAGTTTTACTATTACTATTATCATTATCGTTACTGATTAAATATGAAACAGATTGCATACAGAAAAACAATTGTTAGCTCAAAGTAGAATGTGCACATGAAACTCGCAATAAATTTTCACCAAAAAGCCTACTCATAGTCAATACAATTTTATTCACGCAATTCAGAAAATCGCAACTCAACCGAAAATTGTTTCAACTAAAATCAAATCCTAACAAACATTAA